GAGAGAGAGGAACATAGATATTGCCTCTTCCACCCCCAGCCCCACAACTGGGGATCAAACCCAAAACCCAGGCTTGTACCCTGACCAGGAATGGAACTGGCAACCATTTGGTGTAAGGATGCCCAATCAACTGAGCCACATCGGCCAGGGCTTCTGTGCATTTCTAAGTCAGATACTAGATAAACACAAAGGAGACAAATTGCAGTGTAGCGCAGAATATTGTTCTGCTACTAATAATTAATTAAGCAAAGGGAGCTCACAACAAATTGAATTCTTGGTTTATTTTAGTAAATTAGCGCCTACTTTGGAGGATTAGTGATTGCAAATGTCAAGTAATGTCATTTGCAAGACATTTGCATTTCCTCTTGCTTTATGTCATTTGTTTTCCATATGCTCACAGTGTGCCATTAGAATAGATTTCTACAGAGACTTCACCATCTTAAACACACCAGAACTCCACTGTGACTATGATGGTATGAGACAGGCTAATAGGATTTTACAGAATATGATTAAGTTTCCAGGGAAATGATTTGACCCTTACTATTTCAAACGCCATGGAATAAGTCATATTATAACGGCATTCTGCTGAATTAAATCCTCAGTTTCACAAAAGCAACGTGTTTATCTCAAACCAAGATGGCAGAGGAAAAGGAAATAAAAAATAACAGTACTAAGCCTCCACAGCAGGCTGGTAAATTACATTCAACAATGCAATATTTTAGACATTACTGTGCACAAGGCACTGTGAATATGAAACACGTTTCCTGCGCTAAATGAACTGACAGACTGCCGGAAAGCTAGACATGAAACTCGAAAATAGGAAGGACCCTGACATTTGAGTGCCTGCTCAGGTCCAGGTGCTACTTTATGCCTTCCCATTTAAGTCTCACAGGAGCCACGGGAGGCCCTAGCTCCCTTCCCATTTCACCAGTGAGTCAACTGGACTCCTAGTTTGAAATGGGTTTTGACCACAATGCTGTGCTCTTGCTACTGTATCATTAGCTCAAACAAGGCATAGTGAGTGAAGAGAATGCAAAAAGGAGATAAAAGTAACATGTGCTGAAACAGAAAAGACTCCCTGATATGAGACTCGGGCCAGATAAAAAACATGAGGGAAACTGAATTGGGCCTCAAAACTCAGGAAGAATTTTCAGAGCCTTAAATGGGAACCAGTCCCACCCATCAGTTCAAACGCAGTCTGCTCATTCTCCCATTTTGCGGCAGAGTAAACAAATTTCTTTAATATAATTTTAATAACCATTATACTCGCTGTTTTATTATGTTATGTGATTGTTTCTGTGCCTTGCTATTCCTTGGTCTATTCTATGTTCAAATCAAAATAATACCAGGTCTAACATTTTAAACAATTTAAGTAATTTTATCTCTAAATAATACAAACTATTTTGCCAATCAATCTATTCCCTGAGAAATATTACTCTACTTCTTCGATACTTCTTCCTCACATCTATGTGAACTTTTATACAACTCCAAATAGAAACTTCCGGATTAATACATTAATACATTCAAAATAAGAAACATGAAAACCAATAATTCCAGATAACCCGTCTACAGCCAAAGAAGTAAGAGAGAAAATCCAGTAAGGATGCATAACCACAAACTGTTTTCATTAAAGGTCAGAGTCTGCATAATGTGGAGATTTTAGCTTGAACTTTCATTATCAGGACATAGAGCCTCCATTGATTGATACTAAATAGCTCAGAATACTCAAACTATGATGATTCATTCATTTAAGTAGACTTTTCCGTTTATAAAAACAAATAATTATCAGGGGGATGTCATAAAATCTGTAGAGTAGCTTTTTGTTAGATCCCGTTAAACACACTCCATCACTACCTGCCCACATATACACTTAAAGATGCTAAAGAGTAAAAGCGCTAATTTTACCTGGTAGATGAAGCAGAAGTAAAAAAGACAAAAATAAAGCAATGCTAAGGTAAGGTTCAGACTTTACTGAAAGGTATTTGACATTAACTCAATTTGAAGATTTTTCATTCCAATAGGCCACTGTGCTTGAGTTAATGTCAAATATCTTTCAGTAAAATCTGAACCTTACCTTAAGCATTGCCTGGATTGTACTTGTTCAAAGTTTTGGGTGGTAATTTAAAATAATTCAAGAATCCCAAAATAATTTGTTGAATGTTGATATTTTTAACTCATTACAGACAAAATGTAAACCTTAAAAAAAAATTTTAAAAAAGCCCAGTGAATAAATCTGAACCCAAAACAAACCTAGGTGTATTCTAAAATGTCAAAACTGAATATTAAGATGGTCTTTTCTCTGAGAAACAAATGCAAATTCTGTCCTATTTGGCTATCGTATCAAATATCACAGGGCAGGCAAGAATGAGAACATGCAAACACTATCACTTAGCCCAAATTTTTCCATAAAAGTGCTGTAAACCCGCACCCAAGAGTGTTTTCTCTCCTGTTTCCTTTCTGTTCAAGTTCCAATTCAAGAGTGCAATGTAGGAAGATCCTGAATTCACCTCCTCCCATGGACACACTGAATCTACAACTACATTTGGGGTGGGGGGGGAGTGGGGAGGAGAAATCCTAAACAAAGATGGAGATACTACTTCACATCAGGCAAACAAGCCGGAAACCACACCGAAGCAGGTAGAGACACAGTCTCGCCATAAACCCCACCCCACAATGGAACAACCCACAGTCAGGAAGAAACTTTAAAAAAAACAGAGCACCGTGCGGAGTGAAGGGTCCATACCTCACATCAGGCACCCCAACTCTTAAGACAGGCACCTGAGAGATGAGCCTCCAAGACACCTGGCTTTGAAGCCCAGTGGGGCTCACAGCCACCAGACTCCTGGGGCTGTAGCTGCCTAAGAACGGGCTCCTAAAGGGCTCCACACAGACTCACCCACCCTATGGCCACTGCTAAAGCAGTCCTTTGAAATGAGCCCCAAATTTACATGAAAAAAGACTCATTTGTTTATTTTATAACATTGGTCTGCAAGGCAGAGGCCTGCTTGGATAGTCTCGGGGCCATTTTTTTCTTTTTCTTTTTTTTTTATTCTTTTTTTAGAGGTTGCCATCTTTACACTTCCCCTCTCCCTTGCTCCAGCCAGTGGTCACTATCTTTACACTCTCCCACTAACAGGCTGCAGAGCACCATTCTCTCACAAAGAGGAGCGTCTACACATGTCTGGTGGCCCAGTTTCTATGGTGGCCACCCAGGGGTGCCCCAAGATCTCCTAGCCTGGAGGACAGGGAAGCTTACGTTCCCGGTTCCCATGGAACTGTAACAACCAGAAAGATAGTTCTTGCCCTGTCCAGTGGCTCAGTGGGTTGCAGCATCGTCCCATACACCAAAAGGTGGTGGGTTCGATTCTAATTCAGGGCACATACTTAGATTGTGGGTTCTATACACAGTCAGGAAGTGTATAGGAGGCAACCAATCAATGTTTCTCTTTCACATCAATGTTTCTCTCTCTCTCTAAAGTCAATGAAAATATACCCTCATGTGAGGATTTTTAAAAATTAAAGTTCAAAGAGAAATGTACTAAAACTAACTAAAATATGTAAAAAAAAAAAATACATAACATGAATAGATGTAAATTATGACGACCACAACATAAAGTCTATGTGTGGGAGAATTAAAATACCCATAGAAGTTACACAAAAGGAATAAAAAAGAAATGAAAGCATATCACTACAAACATAATCTATCTCGTTTTATTTGCGCTCCTGAGCTCCAATATATTTGTAGTATCTACTATCTTTCATATGTGCCTCAAGTCCAGTATGTCTAAAGCTCGTAAATTGCTTCTCTATATGCAGAAAACCAGTGTCCTCAATGCCCACCAAATTCCTAGAAGGTTGCTTGCTACTTCCCTTTCCCTCTGAACAGATTCCAATCACTTTCCAAATTGTACACTGTCCCTTCTCCATCTCTCTCATTCGTTCCTCACTCCACCCCATCATTTCACCACCAAATGAATGCATCAGCCTCATCACTGGCTCTCTACCTCCAATCTGGCCCCCTTGCCAACTGCTGACAGAGTAATGGACCTAAAATATAAATTTACTTACATAATTTTCCTGCTTAAAATTCTTTATTGGTTCCCACCCTC